AATTATTGAAGTAAAGAAGCAAAAGAAATGTAAAACATTGGCCAAACAAATAAATATATACAAGAAAAAATCTATGGCGCCTTCCTTGACGCTATAATTTCTATTTATTCTTATTACGACATTCAAATGTTCCGTGATAAACAATAGTCTATCAATTTATATTTATCTTCTATCCAGAACAAGACACATTTTATCGCGTGACACAGTTTGAAAAGAATTTTCTCTTCATTGATTATTTTTTGTCTTTTGCTTAGAGTTTGTCAATTCTGTTAATCTCTCTCTGATTGGCACTTTTCCTCTTTGGAATCCTGTTGTTCTTTTGTGCTCAGAACACGCACGCAGATAATAGAATGGTAAAGTAGCGACATTCTTCGAAGTCGTAGCGAAAGACAACATCGTCTAAGGCAAAAAGTACTTAATGAACACATGAATAAAGGGGACTGGCAATTATCATTAATGTGTGTGGGAGTAGCGTTGAGATCGGCACAGAAAAGGGTAGTATTGACGTGTCGAGTTCGAATTCCAGCTGGGGCATTTGCACTCGATTTCGCATATTTGGAAAGGTTTGAATGCATCTCTTCGTCCCATTTATTATCAGTACATGTTGGGATCTCTACTTTTGTTTCGCAAGCAATCTAGTTGAAGGACGGACTTGAATTCAAAAATCAGGTAGGGTGCGTGGCTAGCAACTCAACCATGTAAAACCTACTTTCAACGGAAACCACAACAGCAATAACATGTGACGTTAGACTGTGGTTCTATGCTCCACAGAAGAATATACGGGGTTAACAACACAATCATTCACACACACACATGTGTATATATATATATATATATATATATATATATATATATATATATATATATATATATTGTCATTCACAGACAGACTGTTTAGCTGTATCACAGCTCATCAGTGTGTTAGACGTCTGGTTGCCTCTACCTAGGATCGAAAACTGACTGAATTGGCATCAGTCGAGGATTCTACCACTAAGCTGTTGGCGCATGACAGGGATGAAGGTGAATTTAAGCCTATTTATTTTCAGATAAACACACAGTGACTGAGAGAATTTACCGAAGATAAAGTTAATTGGGAACCCGTATGGATAATTGCAGGGGAGGGGGATATAATCAGAGCAAGTAATAATTAATTAACAAATCGGGGAATTCAGAAAGCTATGGTAATATTTTATATTTCAAGAGACCGATAAATTTCAGACTTTCAAACAATTTGAAAACCGGCAAAAGTCTGACGAAGCGAAACCGAATTTTATCGATCTCGCGAAATTTAAAATATTACCATGGTTTTCTGAAGTCTCCGATTTGTTAATTATATATATATATATATATATATATATATATATATATATATATATATATATTTCTGAAAAATGTTGTTGGGTCAAAATGTTGATTCTGTGATGATGATCCAGAAAAATGACCATCTTGTATCAGGTTGCACGGTATTGGCACCCTTCGACTATAAAACACGGTAATGCCAAGATTAACTAATATCTGCGCTGGAAAATCTACAACATTTATGAAAAAGTAAAGAAAAAAAAACAGTACGACCAGCACCAAAATCCGGTTACCGCCAGAGAATCTATAATCATTATGGGACTAATGTCCCATAATAATAATCATGGATAGAACAATCAAAGCTAACCACCCAGACATGTTGATCAAAGACCACAAAAAAAGGAATATTCTTATTAACGTAGCAGTTCTTGCAACCTGTAGTGTATCTTTGAAGATATTTAAAATGCTCTCAAAATATATTCTTCGTGGAATGGAAATTTCAAGAATGTGGCATATGAAGACATTAATAAGGCAAGTTGTGGTTTGATTAGGGAAGATTCTCATAAACTCATTGAAGGGATATCTGGTAGCGATGTCTTCATGAAATGCAAAAAAAAAATTCCTTACAATGACAGATCACACCTTCCGAAGGGATTTATCTCTTTAAAATGTCTATACGTTTTTTAGTTTTACCTTTTCGCACGCACAAATTTTCGGGCGAAAATGTTATGGTACCATTTATGGCCTGATTGTGACGTAAAAGAAGAAGAAGAAGAAGAAGAAGGGGGAGGAGGAGCAAGAGGAGGAGAAGGAGAAGAATGAGGAGGAAGAGAGGAAGAAGAAGAAGTAACAGTACGACCAGCACCCAAACCTCGTTAAAGCCCTAGAACCTAAGAAGAAGAAGAAGGAGGAGGAGAAGGCGGAGGAGGAGGAAGAGGAGGAGAAGGAGGAGAGGAAGAAGAAGTAGTAACAGAACGATCAGCACCCAAACCCCGTTACAGCCCTAGAACCTAAGAAGAAGAAGAAGGAGAAGAAGAAGGAGGAGAAGGATGAGGAAGAGGAGAAGAATGAGGAGGAAGAGAGGAAGAAGAAGTAGTAACAGTACGATCAGCACCCAAACCCCGTTACAGAACCTAAGAAGAAGAAGAAGAAGAAGAAGAATGCTGATGGTGATGATGATGATGATCAAAGCCAATCGGCCAGGCTTAGTGATTGAAGACAACAAAAACAGAATATGCTTTCTTATAATATGGCAGTCCCTGCAAACTTTAATGTATATTTGAAAATCTTCAAAACTTTATCAATATTCAATAAATGAAGACAAATTTAGAGAATCCTTCAGGTTAGCCGACTCAAGAGTTTCGCGTCGAAACGCTGAGCAGGGCCAAATATTTGATTTTGAATCGGTTGCACATTTTCTTTCCGATAAGATTTCTCAAATTATCAGGCCGAATTATCCACTAAAAATAACGTTTAAGAAAAATCTGCCGAGTTAATAAATAAAAAAAATCCATCCCCTTTCTTTACAAATTGCTTTGTTTAAGCTAGGATACGAACCTGAGCAAATATGTTTATTTCAAGAGTAAGAATCTGTGTTTAAGGGCACTTCTCAACGTTGCTTGGTCATCGGCGCAATCTGTAGTCGAGCGGTCAAAGCACATCAGATGTAATGATGGTCTCCTACAGGGGGATACAAGTTCGAATCCTAACGGGGAATGAATATTTTTTCTCCAATAAGACTTCTCGAATATTCAGACCGGTAGACTAGAATAAATAAATATACGTTTTATTACATAAAGGGAAAGTCTACTCACATTACAAGTATCCACTAAAAGAAGGCTTAAGTAATAAAAATCTGACGGATTAATAAATAAAAATTCATCCATCTCTTTCTTTACAAATAGATATATATGGATAGACACTGAGATAGATAGATAGATAATGAATAGAATGGAATAATTAGATAGATAGATAGATAGATAGATAGATAGATACTAATAAACACTGAGATAGATAGATAGATAATGAACAGAATGAAATAATTAGATAGATAGATACTAATAAACACTTAGATAGATAGATAGTGAACAGAATGGAATAATTAGATAGATAGATAGATAGATAGATAGATAATGAACAGATTGACATAGATAGATAGATAGATAGATAGATAGATAATGACCAGATTGGAATAAGTAAATAGTTAGATAATGAACAGATGGGAATAACTAAAAAGATAGATAGATAATGAACAGACTTAGATAGATAGATAGATAGATAGATAGATAGATAGACAGACAGACAGAGAGAGAGATATATATAGAGAGAAATGATATTGAATATCAATGTAACAATCTTATAATACCTGTTGTCATACTTATCTTCCCTTTCCTTTAGAAAGAGGAGCTACCCGGTATATTATTAATATGCTTGTTTCTACCTATTTTTTCTTATCATACCCAGGGGTCGAATTATTATCGGTGTAATTTTGAAGGTGTCGCATTTTTTTCAATTTCAGTTTCAAGGTCCTTATGTTTACATATTTTGGCATATTCTTTAACAGATATCTCTTTTTATCTTATGGCACTACCATATCTGAGGAAAGGCATGTATAAAACTGAAAGACAATGCCCAAACATTTAGCACTCACACACATGCACAAAACAAACACACGAACTCACACCAATACACACACGCGCGCGAAGACTGACGTTCATACATACACGTTTAAATACATGCTCTAGTCAAAAGCAAAAAGGCTCCCGTCGCTGCTAGTAAACAGGGCATGTTTAAGCTTGCGGCTCGACTCCAGGAAGGTTTATAGTCTTGGAAATACTTGTAACATCTAAGTACTGAGGTCATATAAACTCACATAAAGAACTGAATTCTATATGTTTAGCAATCCCCGAGACTGTAGGTCTCTATGTGCCAGAAATTGTTGTTGAAATTATAAATAAATGCAGATTATTGAATAATACCGTATTTTCCGGTTTACAAGATGATGCGGCTTGGAAGACGCACCCTAATATTAGAAGGAAAATTCTAAAAAAAAATCATTCTCATACAACAACACATTCACCATGAGTCCCTCACATACTGTTGCTATGTATTGTTTACATTAAACACTCATCCAATTTTGTTTGTATAGCAATGACATACTAGTCGTAAGCAGAAAGTGTCGCGCCGCTGCTAATAAACAGAGCATGTTTAAGATTGTGGCTCGGCTCCAGGAAGGTTTATAGTCTTGTAAATACTTGTAACATCTAAGTACTGAGGTTACATCATATAAAAGTCCGAATTAGATAGCTAATATTAAAGTATAATGACTCAACATACAAATCCACGTCTCTATCAGTCAAGCCAATTAGGTGATCGCCCAAGCTTACTTCAGCCTGAGTGTTGCTTTACATTCGTCTTGGAAGAAGCACTCGTATTTTTCAAGATACATTTTAGGAAAAAAAGTGCGTCTTGTAAGCCGGAAAATATGGTAAATCCACCTTTATCAACGCAAATTTGTTCTCCTGGTGACATATTAAGATCCCCGATTGGTTGATTTCTTTACATTTTACGGCTTATACCGTGCCTCCGTTACCAAGGGTAACTGCGCGTAAGTGAATATAACGAACCCAACTGGAACTGGAACTCGGCTCTCCGACTTGCAATTCCGAGCCATTATCCGTTACACCACCCGCACACCTAAGCTTACAGCGCTTGCTATTCCCAAGCGGTCACCCATCTAGGTACTGAACAAGCTCGACGTTGTTTAACTTCAGTGATCGTACAAGAGACATTGTTTCAACGTGATATGGCCGTACGTTTTCCCATAACTGAAAGATTCATTGTATTTTCCATTGGGGATTGTACTCGAGCCGTGGTCACAAGTTCGAATACTGATCTCGTCATGCACCACAACTTGAATGATGTCTCAACTAATTAGTTCCCCTATTCGATCTTGTGTTTTTCAAAGCTTAATGATCTGAGTGGACAACAAATTTAATTATACAAGCTTAGCCAAATCAAGAGTTTCGCGTCGAAACACTCATCAGGGTTGGATAGGGAAAGACTTTCACGCAAGGGAATTATTAGCCTATTTTTTCGTTTTTTTTTTTTTTTTTTTTCGTTTCTTCCGATTCTCATAAAATTTCTAATTGGTTATTCTTATATAGGAATAAAGAGTCGATACTGTAGTTTGAACATAGATCGCCAGATAGCAAACACAGGCGATCACATTATTGAATTAAGTAGATCACGTGATCGCAGAGGAAATGTATATATCGCAATTAGCTTGGCTTCTAACTGATTATTCATTCTATTCTATCCTCTATTACTATTCGGATCGCTATTACTATTCCATCCTCTATTAATATTCGGATCACCATTTCTATTCTATCCTCTATTAATATTCCGATCACCATTTCTATTCTATCCTCTATTACTCTTCGGATCACCATTTCTATTCTATCCTCTATTAATATTCGGAACACCATTTCTATTCTATCCTCTCTTACTCTTCAGCTCACCATTTCTATTCTATCCTCTATTAATATTCGGATCACCATTTCTATTCTATCCTCTATTAATATTCGGATCGCCATTTCTATTCTATCCTCTATTACTATTCGGATCGCTATTTCTATTCTATCCTCTATTACAATACGGTTCACGATTCTCTTTTCTACGCTATTCTCTATACTGGTCACAACACGGATTACCATTCGGTGGTTACTATTCGAACGAGTAAGTACTAGTAGTGTGAGTGTTATTCGAACGCGTCTTGACACCAGTATTGTTCAACAGCGTTTCCATAGTTGTATCTGCGATTACAAAGTCTCTACTACAACGAGCATTACGAAAGCCACAACGAGTATTTGTTGACGTCACAAAAGTGGCAACGGATGTTCGTTGACATCGCAAAAGTTTTTTTTTTTTTTTAATATTCTTACTGAACGAATATTTGATTTAAAATATTCACAGTACTGCATAAAAATGACGCTGTTCAAGCCCTGATAAAACGTTTGCATTTCGCATACTGATTTTCAAGAGCCAATTTCGTTCGGATTCGTGTTGTTCCAAGCTTCAGAACATTATATCCTCCTTTGATCTGAGACGACCTTACAACATGTCTTTAATTATAGAGGCTTTTAATGGAAACCTTTTAGGCCAGAAAATTATTCGCAATTTTCTCATTTCTCCGGACCATTATTCTAATTTATTTTTCTTTCAATATTCTTGCTGAATGTTTGATTTTGAATATTCACAATACTGTGCAAAAGTGGCGGCCTTTTAGACACTTTCTTGATAAACACCCGAAAGGTGTATTCCTTCTTCGTTGCTAGATGGCATTTAAAGTGCTTAGTTTTAATTTAAACACACAAAGTCAGCATTTGATATTCTATTGAGATATATCACATCAACACGCCATTTTTAATTTTGCGAAATTTGGCATATTTTTGTTAGGTGATTCCTAAAATGATCGTGAAAGGAAATAAGTATTTTGTGGAGATTATGCTTTCCCCACACTCCCCGACGGAATCTGCTCCCTCGCATCCGAGAGTGAGGTGAGCCTTCAAGTTGGTCGTTTGATCTGGAGAGGGATGAGCTTCGACAGGTCTACTTGATTAAGACACGCTACGTATGAATGAATGACTTCTAGATCTATGGCAGGAAATTGTAAGGCGCTCAGCTTCGCAGTGATTCTACGACCACACCAGGACATGGAGCGGTTTTTGATGATGATGATGATCATCATAATCACAATGATGATGGTGATCATTATCATAATTTAGTAATATGTGATTAACATCAGGAAAGAGTGGCATGAACGATAATGAACCTTTCTTCTCAGTGGAGTTGATCTGTGATGAAACCCATATGCACAAAAGAAGATTGACCTAAATGGTGAACTCATAGTCACTAGGTTCAGAATCGCTCCTCACGAGATGTCAGCAAAAAAACATTCCACAACCAAAAAGCACCTGCAGTAGTTACGATTTCAGAAACATCACTATTGATGGCAGAATATATTAAAACAAAAACCGTATATAGATCGTTCAATAAAGTGAATAATATTTTTTTTAATTCTTTTCTTCTTCATGTGATGTGCCCCCCTCAGGACGTAGGCGAACATGGCGCTCCACAATTTCTTGTCCTTTGTAGCTCTTAATAAATTTTGTCTTTTGTTATTTCTCTCAAACCCTGTTCTGCAATCCTTTTATTCAAGCTCACTATGTTATGCTATGTTTTCTTCTGTCCCTCTTGCTTTCAATCTGTCCTGTGAGTATTAGATTTTCCAAGCCTTATTTCCTCATTATGTGTCCTAGAAATTTCACCTGTCTCTTTCCGACGTTACAGCCAACGACAAAATTATTCGTACACCCATCAGGTTTTAATATTTTTATCCATTTCTCAGAATCTAATGATTGTATGATGCCAGTTTTTGCATATGTTAATAAGCACAGAAAAAGAATATAAAACTCAATTTTCAGAACAATAGGTTAAATACAACAAATTATGCAAAATAGAAAAAGACAAAGTTATTCGTACAGTAGAAAATATCGTTTTAAATTGATTGATTCGTGTAGGTATAAGTAATTTAAATAATTAGTTTATCGGTGAAGCCTTCTAAACTATTTATTCATTAGAATGTTTGTGATAATTCCAGTAAAGAACATCATGTGGTGCATAGAGTGTCACCATTGTTATTCTTATCTTGACAACACGATGGGGAAGACAAAGAAACTTAGCGTTGACATGAGACAGAGAATTATTAATTTCTACAAGTCGGGAAATAGTTACAGTACTATTTCAAACCGGTTAGCTATCCTTAGATCCACGGTACATTCCGTTATAAAGAAGTTTAAACATTTTGACACGACAGAGAATTTGCTTGGGCGTGGAAGAAAACACAAATTGTCTACGAAAACTGTGTCGCGAGGTTAATATAACCCCAAGAGTTGTTTTGAATGACATCGCCAAACAGTTTAGATACGATGGGTATCAGCGTAAGTACACGCATAATACAAGGTTGTTTAAATAGAAATTAATTGTATGGAAACGGACCACGACGAACCCCTCGTCACAAACCATGTCACATTGTTGCTAGTTTTAAATTGGCCAAAACGTCCCTTTTGCTTTTGGGAACTAGAACGATAGAGTGATGGAACCAAAACTGTGCTTTTTGTACATAATGATGTACAGAAGATTTGGCGCAAAAGGGTAATGCTTCCCTCTAAAAGGACACAATGACATCATTAAAACATGGAGGTGGTTCGATGATGTTTGAGAGTTGTTTTAGCTTAAGGGGGAACATGACAATTAATTGCAATGAAAGGAATAATGAAATGGCAAAATTCTGAATGAAAATCTACAACTATCAGCGCAAAATCTTCAACTATGTCGGCAACTTAATCTCCACCAAGATAATGACTCCAAATATACGTCTAAATTAGTGACTGCCTGACTTTAAAAAAAAGAGGTTTACAGTTCTTCCATGACCTTCAATGAGTTCTGACTTGAATTCATTTGAAAATCTATGGGAATAATTGAAAGTTCGAATAAATCGTCAGTTACCAATAACCTTCAGGAATTAGAACGTGTAAGCATTTAAGTATGGAAGAAAATCCCAGAAAAGACTTGATCAAATCTCATCAAACACACTAGAAAAAGACTGCAGCAAGTTATAAGGATGAGAGCCCATGCTATTGACTATTAATATTGTGAAAATTGTTCATTTTTTTCTATTTTTCATACTGTACGAATCATTTTGTCTTTTCCTATTTTGCATAATTCACTAGTCAAATTTGTTGTATTTAAACTATTGTTCTGAAAATTGAGTTGTATATTCTTTTTTTGTGCTTATTAAGATATTAAAAAAATACGGACATTACATTCTAAGAAATGGATAAAAATATTCAAAATTGATGTGTGTACGAATAAGTTTCCTTTTCATTTCCATTTACTCTCAAACTTCGTCGTTGCTTACATATTAGTTCCATGGTATGCTCATCATCCTTCTGTAGAACTACACTTCTGTTGCTTCAAGTTTCTTCTTCATCTTTGAAGAGATTTTCTAGCATTCATGCCATATAGGACAGGTATCACATAACGGATCAGTATTTCTTTTTTTTTTTTTTACTTAATGAACGGAATAACATTTTATTTCACTCTTTGCGGGATTGGCAGTTCTTAGGCTGCAAAAGGGTAAGACACCTTCAAAAGGCGTCACCTTCCGTGTATATACTATCAGACCAAACCAATATCTGCTTTTTTCATCGTGAGATAAACTCAGTTAATTTCTACATTTTTGTCCCTAATGTAAACAGAAAATATGTCTTCCTTTTTTTTATCCAGGTGATTGTATCCTATGACATTTATATCTGACATTCGCGTTCACCAATCCCGTAAGCTCTTAGGGGGTTGTTGAGGCAACACATCTAATGCAGCGACAGAAGCAGTGTTTTTTCCTCGGCAAGGCAGCCACACGGATCTCAACCCTTTCCAGGCTGGTTTTTCATTCAGAGTTTTTTTTCCTAGACTGGTTTCCAACCAAGGCAATCTGTCCTGCTATTTACTCATAACTGGGAGAAAATGTGGGATTCACACCTTTCTCAAAGGTATTAGCACGTAAGTAATAAACTCAAAATGTCTCGATAAATTAAAAGCTCATCCTTTCTTCTCTGCTCCCCTCTCTTTCGTATTCTTATTCACTTTCTCTCTCTCTCTCTAATACGCATGTATACATATGAGTGTTTTTTTTTCTGAAATACACCAAGGAACAAAGTTGTTATTTGTATGAAAGTAGTGATTTCTAGCCGG